GCTCAAATAATGAAAGAAAGCACTAGCCACTACAAAAATTGTAGTTGCACATCCTAAAATCGCGTCCTTTTTTGATCCACCACGTGCTTTCTTAGTGCGCATGCGCAAAGCGATGAACTCAAATAAGAGACCGGGTCTCTTATTACTCATTCGATCAGGTGAACCACCAGTGCCTCCTCATTTCATTGCAAGCCAAGGGTATTGGAGGGACAGCACTAGCATGGTTCGCCTCATACCTGTGTGATCGTCGGCAGAAAAGTCACCCTGCCACATGCTTCATCCAGAGTCCTCCCAGTTTCGCGTGGAGTCCCGCAAGGTTCTGTTCTGGGTCCTGTACTCTTCAATGTCTATACAAGCCACCTCCCTACCATAGCAGATTCCTTCGCCTATTCCCTTCCCATGTTCGCAGATGATATGATCCTCTACCGAAATGCCCTGGGGGGGGGGGGGGGGTGGGCGGGGGAGAGGGAGGGATGGAGGAAAAGGGGCTAACAGTGCAGATTATAATTCATGCATGGATGGTAGAAAATGGCAACTCTGTGCAGTCAGCGATGTACCAGGACGTAGAGCTTATAATACTCGACCAGCTGCTTCCTGGTCCTCATCTGTCGATGTTTGACTTTGACATAGAGACGTCTACAGACTACACTACGGTTGTTTGTTGTTGTAGCTGAGTGGTTAGTTATTGTCGTTCACCAAAAGAAATACAATGACAGAATGGCAGACGTCAAACAAATTCCCTTGCTTTCAATGGAAGGGAGATAACGTGAAGCAACTTCGTAGAATGTGTATGTATGCAAATTGTATTGAGAGAATGCACGCAGGGCGATAGTGCGGGTTCGAGTCCTATAATTATTGTGTTGAAAAAAGAAGAAAAAGAAGAAAAAAATAAAACTAGCACCGTAGCGTAATAATTATAATTATATTTTAAAACGAGAGAGCTTGGAAGCTCAGGGCCCTACGCTATGCTTTTTTGCCTTGATGACCTAGACAAAAAAACATAGGGATGTTATAAATTCTTAAAAAAGTTTCTTTTTTTTAAGACATAACCTGGGATTCGAACCCGCACTATCGCGCGCCCGGCATGAATCCCCCCAATACACTTCGTGGATGTGTGGGCGTAGATGTGCAATGCTTCGATTTCTCTCTTCTCTCTTCCTGTCGGTGTCTCCCGCTTCTGGGCCGGCATGGCCCATGCTTCATGCATGCTTGTTCCTGTTGTTGTTATGTCTACTGTGTCCTGCCGCTACTCCGACTTTGGCCGTGACCACGATGTGTTTCCCCATTTTCTCCTTCATCCTTTCCTTTTTCTTTTTGCTATTAAAAAGCTTTCTTCTCTCCGGGACCACGATTTTCTTCTTTTTCTTCTTTATTCCTTTTCTTTCCTTCTTTTCTCTTCTTCCTTTGCTGAGAGCCTTCTGTTCTCATATTTTCTTTTCATTTGTGTCCCCATTCCTGGGTTACTTGGACTTCATTCGCTTCCCTGTCATTGGACATGTTCAGTCCATTCGGTTTGCGAATTCAAATAAACACAACCAACCAAGTAGCTCGTGTGGGTGAGATTATTTTCATTGTGCGTATCCAGTGTGGCCATGATGAAAAGCAGAAAAAATTATTCCCGGTTTATAATCCGAGGATTGTTCCCTCAATGTGACCGGCCCTATAGGCCTAATAATAATAAAGATTATAGACCAATTACGTGTCTTCCGATACAGTACAAGCTCTTTACCGCCGCCATATCGAAGATTATGTGGCAGCACATCAATCAACATGAAATACTTGCAACGGAGCAGCGCGGTTGTGCAGCAGCTGGTCTTGGTTGCAAGGAGCACCTGATGGTGGATAAGATGATTCTGGAGGATGCCCATACGAAAGGGCGAAATCTGGTCATGGCATACCTGGACCTCAAAAAGGCGTTTGATAGTGTGTCGCATGAATGGATTCTACATGCTTTGACGATGTATCGATTCCACCCGTCTTTGGTCACAACTATTGCCCGTAGCATGCAGAACTGGAGAACGACAATGCACATATGCGACCAGGGAAGATACAGGGTCACTACCGGCAACATTTCTATAAGAAGAGGCATATTTCAAGGTGACACATTATCCCCGTTACTGTTTTGCCTGGCGCTAAACCCAATCAGTTTTGAGCTCAACCGATTGCCTTTGGGATACAGAGTCAGCTGCAGAGACGCCGAGTTGACTATCAATCACTCTTGGTACATGGACGACATTAAACTCTACGGGAAAACTACAAAGGATGTGACTACCCTCGTGTCTACCGTGTGTGGCGTTGGTGATGACATCGGCATGAATCTCAACCCGGCCAAGTGTGCCGTGCTGCACGTCAGGAGAGGAAAACCAGATGAAGGATGCTCTATCCAGGTTGGCGATGAGACCATTGCAGAGTCGCTACGACTCAATGAAACATACAAGTACCTTGGAGTAGTGCAAGCAGCCATGATACCTCACCCGCAGCTCAAGACGCAACTCACTGCAGAATACAAAAAGAGATTGTATTTGCTTCTTAACAGTGGATTGAATGCGCGAAACATGATCAAGGCCATCAATACGTATGCTCTGCCGGTTATGACATATAGTTATGGAATCGTAAATTGGACCGAGGATGAAATCAAGACCACAGATCGAGCGACAAGATCAGCCTTGACTGCGTCTGGATTTCACCACCCCAAAGCCTCAGTCAACAGGCTCTACATGAAGAGGGGAGATGGAGGCCGGGGCTTGGTCTCTTGTGAGGATATGCACGGCCGGAGCATGTGTGGCCTGGCCCGCTACATGAGTACCAGCCCAATAGACAGAATAAGCCTGCTTTATCAGTATCATCAACAAAAACCTACAACAAAAAGCCACTCAATAACTGCAAAGGCCGCTAAGTTCCTGTCGAGTTTGGATCTGCCAGCAGCTGGACCAGCTTTACCCAATAAGCATACCATTAAACAAGCGTGCGCCGAGCGAAAATCCAAAACACTTTCCACTATGCCGCTGCATGGGAGATATTGGAGCCGATTGGAGGAGAATCACCTAGATAAGGAGCTTACCTTCATGTGGTTGAAATCAAGGACACTGAAACCTTCAACTGAAGGCATGATTATGGCAGCACAAGACCAATCCCTCAAAACGAAAAATTACCAATACGCCATAATGAAGTCAATTGCTCGAACTGACGCCAATTGCAGGCTTTGCAAGGGCAGCTTAGAAACAATTGTCCACATTGTCAGTGCCTGCCCAGTTCTTGCTCGGACCAGTTACATCGAACGTCATAACCGGATAGTAAAGTATGTGCACTTCGAAATGTGTAGAGCACGAGATCTACCTACTGGTGCTTTTCACGATTCGACCACCAGCTCAAGGCATTGGTCAAAAGTGATCGGCATCGGCTCTATTGGGAGTATTCGGTCCCAACTGACCTGAAACTATCAGCAAACAGGCCCGATCTGCTCCTTGTTGATGACAAGGAGCGCATCGCCTACATTATAGACATCAGCGTTCCTGGTGAGAACAACATCAATAAGAAAATGGCTGAAAAGCGCTCGAAATATTATGATTTGAAGCGGGAGATTTCGAGGATTTGGTCCCTCACCCAGGTTGACGTGGTCCCTGTGGTTGTCGGTGCCCTGGGAGGCTTGGTGAGGGAGACTCCTCAATGCCTTCGGACTGTGCAGGGAGGAGACCTGGCTATTGTGCAACAGGAGGCTATACAAGGTTCGATTAAAATACTAAGAACTATCCTTAACATGTAGATGCACCTCTGCTGCGTTTGCATGTTCAATAGCTAAGAGACTTGAATAACGACTGATAAAGACTGATATTTCCTTTGTTACTCCCTTCATTGGTTGATGTATTTTGCCTGTCGCTGCAAATTCTTTATTATTGTTTTGATGTTGGAGTTCGGATTGAGTTTCTTTCCTTTTTTCCTCTTCCTTCAACTATTTCTTGTCCCTTTGGTTTTTAGGTTTTATTTATTTATTTATTTTTGTTTGTTTTTTCACTTTCTTTTTGCTGTCCCACCCATGGAAATATTTCCCGGTGGGTCTGGCTTATCGCCTTCGAAAGAAGTGAATAAAGGAGAGATAATAAGTCCTGGTGGTGACAGTCAATGTTTTCTTCAGACTTTTCCCGTTTGTCTCTTTCCCTCAAACTAGTGAAAAAAAAAAAATAATAATAATAATATAATAGCATGTTGAGCTGTGTACTAGTGGTACTACTAGTAGTACTAGTATGGGTGATCTCTCCGAGGTTACACCAGCGACGCAGGCTACGTATCGCCTATAAGGTTGGCGGCTATAGTAATATACCGGATATAGTGATCAATTTCTCTAATTCATTTTCATTTGCCATAACTAAGTATACACAGTTATCGCGTATAGTAATAATCGTCTATAGTAATATATCGCCTATAGTGATCAAATTCATATTTCAAAAGACGTTTATTACACTATTTTTGCATCGGTTATAGTGATTGATGTGAAATCAAGCGATGTCAGAGGAGAACAGGGTGTTACTTCTTCGTGAAGAACTTGTCCAGTGAGTGTTGTTTGGTGAGTTTTGCTTGTACAAGTTGCCAAAATATGCCTCCATCATGAGGAAATCCTGATTTTGTGTGTCAGGAGCTACAGCCAGCTACATGACATTGTACATGTATGTAGTGCGTATGTGCACGGCGCGCTGAGTCGTTTGACACCCCACTCGCATACATTGCATGCAGTATCGGTCATAGTAATATATCGCTTATAGTGATAAAATGCTCAAAATCAAACACCAACGCTATAGGCGATACTGACTGTACTTGCATCTACACCTACGGGTTTGAATGCTGGAGCAGCCCTGGCTTTGACACCTCCAGAGCAAGGTGACAGCCTGCAGCCTGCTACAGCTGTGCTAGTAACTACTGATACAAGCAGTGACAACCTAGTGCAGGGGATGCCTTCACAAAGCAGCACTGACCTTACTCATCCTCAAGATGGAGAAACTGACGCCATGGATGCACTCAACACTGACACCACTAACGCGCTCAGTGAGGCATACTTGAGATGGAGAAAGGTACCCATGTCCGAAAGGCCTAGGTTACCTGTACCTCGCCATGTGCCTCAACGCAAACTCGATCAGGTGACATCACTTGTGAACAAAGTAATCCCTGGAGTGATCAACACCACTAGTAAAAACAAAGATCTTCAAATGGAAGATCTCAATTGCTTAGTATATGTTGCTGCTCGATGTTCCTTGACCAGATGTGGCATTTCCTTGTCTGAGACGAACGGTGAAAACGCTAGTGGCAAGCCGGCGAGCTCGCGACCACCGGAACCGATTTGGTTAGTAAAATCGCGCAACAAAGCGAAGAAATTACGGGCAGATATATCTCGACTAACAATGATGTTGAAAAACCCTGCTGTCAAGCACCAACGGTTCTTTACTCAGTACGGAATATCCAACACTTCCCAGATTGGATACGCCCTGGAACAGAGGAAGCTGGAATTGCTTGCGCTAGCGGAGAGGACAAGACGTGATAAACACATCTGGGAGAGCAGGAGAGCTAACACACTATTCCGCACAAATGAGAAAGAATTCTACCGTAGACTGAGAAAGGAACCGGAGCAGCAGCATCCCGGGGAAATACCGAGTGAGGGTGCCGTATTCGAGTTCTGGTCTGGTATACTAGCCAAGCCTGTGCCGTTTGATGAGTCATCAGGGTGGTATCAAGAACAAAGAGTGGAATATGAGACTACCATTGCAGAGGATGAACCCGTATCTGTGACTCAACGGGCACTCCAGGACACGCTAGCTAAGGTCAGCAGGTGGAAAGCTTGTGGTGTAGACGCAATTCATGGTTACTGGTGGAAAAAATTATCTAATCTACACATTGCCCTGCGAATCGCCTTCCAGAAGACCCTTGTCGGTGATTGGCCAATTCCGGAATGGTTGGTGACTGGCCGCACAATCCTGCTGCCCAAGACGGAGCCACCCACATCTAACCCAGCCCAATATCGCCCTATCACCTGTCTACCCACACAATACAAGATCCTGACAGCCGTAGTTGCTAGTCTCATGTGGAAACACATTGACACCAATTCGATACTCCCAGATGAGCAGAGAGGGTGTACCCCGGGAACACTAGGCTGTAAGGAGCAACTTCTTGTCAATAAGATGATAATGGAGCACGCTCGGCATAATAAGCGCAATATCTCTGTTGCGTATATCGACTTCAAGAAAGCCTATGACAGCGTTTCTCATGTATGGATTATTCGGATGCTGGAGATGTACAAATTTAGCCCAACTCTTGTCAAGTTCTTGGAGGCAAGCATGCAGCTCTGGAATACGCACATAAGTTTATGATATCAAAATGCACGGGTTTCTACAGAATCTGTCAGGATGCGCCGTGGTATCTTCCAAGGAGACACGCTATCACCCCTCTTGTTTTGCTTAGCTATTAACTGCATTTCAAGAGAGGTGCAGAAGACAGGCGGCGGATATCAAATGCAAATTGGACAGGTGTCAAAGGTCGTTTCTCAACTCCTGTACATTGATGACATTAAATTGTATGCCAAACATCGCAACCAGCTGAAGCCCATGATCAACGTCGCCCAGATCACAGCTTCGGCCATTGGCCTGGAGTTTGGTGTTTTGAAGTGCGCCACGCTTCATGTACACCGAGGAGTGCTTGAGTCAAGTGATGCGGAGCCTGTCGAAACACTGTTGGGTATGGCTTTACCCACCCTGCAAGAAGATAACATGTACAAATACCTCGGATTCATTGAATCGGCTGCGCTGCCGCATGGTGAGATAAAGAGCAAGCTTCGTGAGGATTATGGAAAGCGATTAGATGCGATCTTCAAGTCTGGATTAACGGCTGGATATTTAGCAAAGGCAGTAAACACATACGCGGTGCCACTGCTCACCTACAGCTTTGGCATCATCAACTGGCGACCCGTAGAATAGGAGCAGCTGGATATCTTGCTCAGGAAGAAGCTCACCAAGAAGGGATGGCATCACCCTCGGGCTGACAGAGAGAGGGTGCATTTGGTGCGCGCCGAAGGCGGCCGTGGATTCCAAAGTGTGGTAGATCTACTTGCAAGTACATGAACGATCCATCATCCAGATCAATAAATACATCGAGGGCCACCAAGACCACATTGCCATTGCTCTCCTAAAACAGTACCATCATGAAAAAGCAAAATACTCTGTCTCCAGTGATGCTGCGAAATATTTGGCAAAGATTGGTATGGAGGAGTCAGCCACAAAGGAGCAAATACGCCAGGGATACCAGCGGCATCGGGAGGAGACAATCAGAAAGAAGCCTCTGCATGGCCAATTTTGGCTTATGCTGCAGGATGCTGAGCTGGATCGAGGGCTCTCCTTTGCGTGGTTGCGGTCTTCCGCTTTGCGTCCGGCGACAGAGAGTATTGTCATGGCCATACAGGACCAGGCTATCCCAACACGGAACTTACAAGAGATATTTAATCGAGGAACAGGTGTGTCAACGAAAACGAGTTGCAGGATGTGTGGCAGGGACAAGGAAACGGTTTTCCACCTTATTGGAGCGTGTACAGCTTGTGCGGGGAGTCACTATATCAATCGCCACAACAGGTTAGCAAAATATCTCCACTGGACATTGTGCAGGAAGTATGGTGCATCGGACATTTCGAATAAATACACAAGTCACCAACTCACCAACGTCGTGTACAGTGCTGAAACGGATGTGTCAATCTACTGGGAAGTGCCAATTCCAACAGCAGCGCCCGTTGGAGCAAACAGACCCGACATTATTATCAAGGGCAAAGATGAAGCGTTCCTTGTGGACGTAAGTGTCCCTCTGGATAGGAACATCCGCCGAAAATCTGTGGAAAAGATACAGAAATATCAAGGCCTGAAGCGTGAGGTGGAGCAGATGTGGCAGGTGCGGGCCAAGATCGTGCCAGTAATTGTGGGGGCATTAGGTGGATTAACCCCCTCGACTGCTGACTTTGTGAGGGAACTGGATGCCGGTGCCAGTGTATCGATCTTGCAAAAGGAGGCGCTCCTTGGCACAGTTGACATCATAAGGTCAATAACTCAGATGAAATAATAATTACACTCTAATAAGTTACATTGGTTTGCAAATGCCCATGGTTCGAACTATTAGTTGAAGCACGTATTTGCAGAAAATAATTATGATCGTAATATTAATCACTTGCCAATAACAAAGACAACAATAATACCATCAGCCCCCATTCACCGGTTTTGACGGTGCTTCACTGATGTTGAATGAGAAGAATGATATTGCTGCCTTCAGTGCTATTGTGTCGCTGAAGGGCTCGATTTCAGATTTGATGACGGTTACTTTTCAACGGATTTTGTTTGCTGATTTAGCTCTCTTGCTATTACTGTACCTGCTTGTGTTAAGTCTCATTCTCGCAGATTAGATGTATAATAGATTGTACATGCATCATTGAAGATTTGCTGTTCACAGTATTTCTCTCTTTTTTCTTTCTTTTTTCTCAGTCTTCCTTATTATATTTTCTTCACATACAACAGCAGTACTCCCCATGGTCTTAAATGACCCGGAATGCTGCATAATACAAACACAAAACCAATAAAGCCACCCCCATAATAATAATAACCGTTTGTCTCTTTCCCTCAAACTAGTGAAGATTTTATGACTTGGGGCTCCCCGCGTGCTAGAGTGTACGTGAAGTGTGTGGGTACAGTGAAGGCTGCGTCCCACCCGCCTGTGTGGATTCACAGGAAGTGTGAGTTACGAAGTCTGAAGAAAATGTTGAACAGTCTCTGCTGGGATGACGACTACACCATAGCTCAGTGGTTAGAGCATCGCTAGCTACAAGCGAGGGTCCCTGGTTCGAGTCCTGGTGGTGACAGTCAATTTTTTCTTCAGACTTTTCCCGTTTGTCTCTTTCCCTCAAACTAGTGAAAATAATAATAATAATAATAATAATAATAATAATAATTTGGAAAGGATTGGGAGAACTTCATATTCAAAGGATCAGTCGGGGAAGTGAACTACCTGAAAAGAGAAAAAACGCCAGACCCACCAGGACTCGAACCTGGGACCCTGCTTGTCATGAGCAATGCTCTAACCACTGAGCTATGGGACCAGGCTGAACCTAGAAGGCGCTGAAAAAGACCCAAGTGCCATCAGTATGTGTGGCACGTGTTGTGAGCTGCCTTTGGAGTGAAAAACTTGTCAGCGCCTTCTAGGTTCAGCCTGGTCCCATAGCTCAGTGGTTAGAGCATTGCTCATGACAAGCAGGGTCCCAGGTTCGAGTCCTGGTGGGTCTGGCGTTTTTTTCTCTTTTCAGGTAGTTCACTTCCCCGACTGATCCTTTGAATAATAATAATAATAATAATTAAAAAGCTTACGTGGAGATAAAAATGTAATCAACGCAATAAATAGAGTAAGCTGCGCACTCACTACAAACACCATTAGCAAAACTTGTTTTCATGTAAATAACTAAGCTTGTTCCTAATAGTCCATCGGCCAAGTCTCAAAATCGAAAGTGGTGATGCACTGAGCTTCCAACTAAACGCGACCATACCCAGCACGTAGAGAATATATCAGAGAACACTATTCCGTTTGTTGGACGTGCCGAATTCAGTCCAGGGCGTCGATACGAAGCGTTCTTCGTCGCCGAGTTTTTTACTGTGCGCTCCATTTGAGAGTGCGCAGAGTTCTGATCGAGAGTTTTTTGAGCAGATTTTCATATTTTTGAGGCTGTCAGCTGACAGCTGTCAACCCTAAATGGCACTTAGTATGTGACAGGCAATAGGTTTTGGTGCCTCCGTATGCCTTCTAATAAGTTCTATCTTCCTTCGTTTCACTTCGCTGCTTCGCCCACCACCTCAGGAGATGACAGCGTACCTGCACTAGTCAGCTCTCGCTAACCCTGTCTCTCTTTCTCCGTCTTAGCGCTCGTCATTCGTGTCCTTCTGCTGGGGCGAGCTTGATACTGTTGTGTCGTAGTTTTTAGGCAATAGTGGCTGTTGTTCGCGTGACGATCAGGATTTATGGAGAAAGACGACGACTCGCCAAGTTCCCATGCAGCCACAGACGGCGTAGCAATTCTTACCGCCAACCCTTCGAGCAACGGAACCGGCCTGAGTTGGAAATCGTGTCTGTGTAATTGTGCCACGATACGGACGAAACACACAGGCTCACATGTGACGAGATGAAGATAATCTCAACAGGCTGACGGAAATCCAACAGGCTCAAGGGAACGCTGCAGTTATGGTCGGAGACGCGGAGTTATTTAGTCACTGGTAAATGTTGCATCGAGTGCTGTGTGCTCTAACACAATTGTAAAAATCATGAAAAAGCGAAAATAATGCAATGGTGGGGCTGAGTGGTGTTCTGTGGAGGAGACGTCGTTGTCTCAGTATTCAACGCCGGACCCTGTATTTCAAGTCTGTGGTCATGCTCGATCATAAGTTCCTGTATGGCTCCAGTGCCTTCTCAGCATTGTTGGCGGGTAAGCACCTGGATCGTGTTCAAGTACTGCGGCTCTGGTGGCTTGAGGGATGTACGGGTGCTCGCCGTGCACCCCTGCCGGCAATCTGCTAGTGAAGCTTGGTACCTACTGTGTCCGGGAGATTTTCATCCAGAAGCTGATCTTCCCAGGCTGGAGCTGCTGCTACTCCTGTGCTAGCCCTCAACCACTGGCGCTCCTACTCGGCTCCAGTGTGGGCCATTAACCACCCTGCCCGATATCGCACTGTTGCTATTCCACACCGTCAGCATTTAACTCTGAGGTCAGACCTTGATCCCTCCCACCATATGCTATCTGTCTGTCTGCCTCTCTCTCACACACAGATGTGCGCGCATACACACAAACACACATGCACACACAGTGACACAAACATACACATAGCCAACTTCTCTGTGTTTGGTGATCATCATCTGTTTTCTGATGTGCAAGCTCACCTCTGATGCCGATTACTTCCTTGCTTAGACCCGGTCTGCTATTAGACCAGTCTGCTCTCCCTTCACTCGCTTGTAAATCCTACTTGGAGCAGTAAGGTTGTGTCACTGCTCCTACTGATGTCATTGTTGTGAAAGCAATATCATCGCCATTGGTGGTAATTTTCCACCGTGCATGAATCATTAACAATCATCATCTATGTGTCACGGCCTAACCAATCCTCGTAACTCCCCTCATCGTGACTAGTGCTGTACCGTGAACCTACTTTGCTTCAGTGTATATTCGCTCCAAAGCTCTTGTTTTGTTGCATAGTGATCTGACGCAGTGTGCTATCCTATCGGGTAATATGGATAAGATTAGTACAGTCGGCATCGCCTATCGAGTGACCAGGTACATGTATAAGGATACTAGTACATGTATACC